CGTTTATTGTTTTATTACAATATTTTATTAATACAAAGTAACATTTTTTCATATTTTACATTTTCATATTTCTAATTTTCTAATTACAACGTCATAATTTCATTTCTTGTACTTTTCATTAAATTTCTTGATTTTAATGTTTAAATTATAATTCAATTTTTGATATTTCGTAAAACCAGGCTCTGATGATGACTGTATGCCAAAACAACGTTGTAAGCCTAGGATGACACATAATGATAATAAATATGAATTAAAACAGCTTCGTGTTGCCGAAATCCTTATTAAAAAATTAATTAATGCAAAATAGGCAAAAATATTTAACAATATTTGCATCAAAGAAAACCTCGTTCCAAAATATATATATACATATATATATATAAATTATTCAGTGGCGTCTGATCTTAAGAAGGATAGTTTTATTGGTTTTAAAATAACAAATGAAATGTATGGATTAGCACTTACATCTCTTCTGGAGTCACTATCTTCTAGCCTGCATTTGTATTTCAATTAAACGCTTTGAAATTTTGTTATTTTTGTACTTTTTTTGTCAAGATGAAAAATCTTACATAAACATGCTAAATAAAAATAAAAGTTAAAAATGAATGAAAATTTGTATCAAAAAAAAATTTCTCCTATTGGAAATCATAGTAGTAGTTCATGCAATCCCTGCTGTGTTTTTCAATCATTCAAAATTGGCACTTCCTATCCACTCCAACACGTAATTTAGTTCATTCACAGTGGTGTGGTGGTGATATTTTTGATAAGAATTGCTGATGTTTTAAAGATGTAGCAAAGGGCAAGGAACTATTTCGCATGTAGGTGTTTTCTTGAAATGCCGTCTAAACTTGAATTTCTAAATATTATTCTTACAAGATCATTTACAGTACAAATAACCATTTCAAACTTATATTTACAAGGGTATGTTAAAAGTAACTTTTGAAAAAATTTAATTTTGCTTTAATTCTCTCTTTTTTTAAACTAATTTGCATACTTGAATATGTGAAATAAATGTGCATGCATATGTATTAGTGCATGCATCCGCTCCTATATAAATATTCATTAATTGTTAATGTTAAAATAGGAAAAAATACAAGGCGTGTTTCCAGCATACATATAGAAAGATGAGAGATAGAACTGATGATTACACACGCGTGTGTATGCACGGTAGAGGCAGGAATAAAACGCGATGCTGATGCAGAAAGCGAGGAATTTGTTTAAAAGCTGCTTACTCGCTTCATTCTGGACTGCAGTTAGTTTGCAGCCTTATAAGTTTTTCTACGCATAATATGCCTTGCTCGACAAGCAAACCGCTTACATTTTAAATATTATTATACACATTATATTGGACTACAAGAGTTTAACTTTATATTGCAGTAATTAAAACGGTGTACAGTTGAAGACGTACTACATCGGACGTGCATTATCATTACACAACATTTTGTTTTTTTCGTCTCATTAAACCAAATTCAATTGTTGGAGGGTTGTTTTTGCAAGGAAATCTATATAAATTTTGGTTCTGCAACTGACCATTGGTAATTTTATTTTTCATTTAATTGAAATAGTTGTTTCCATCTTTACAATTTGTATTTCAAAATCAAATAAAAAAGTAATCAACAAAACTTGAATCGGGAGATCTTACTTTCGAAAAGATTAAATTTAAAAAATTAAATGTTTATAAAGTTGTAATTCTTCATAACAATCTGACCGCATCAAGTAGATCATATCCTTTGACAGTTTTTATCAACGTTGTTTAGTTGGAAAATATTCAAATTTCAGTTCAGTTAGAACATACGTGAATTAAATAATTTGCATTTTACTCAACAGAAAACTTTCAGAATGTCTGGATTCCCTCCCGATGACCCAGACTTTCAGTTCCTGGCGTACGACAAGAAGAAGTTACTGGAAGAGCAAGGACAACCGTTCGATGGCAAGAAGAATTGCTGGATAGTTGACCCAAAGGAAGGCTATTTGAAAGCAGAAATTATAAGCACCAAGGGAGATGATGTCACCGTCCTAACCGAAAAGAAAGAAGTATGTCTATTTCAATAAAACGTTAATTGGCAGGTGGTTATCTTGAAACCACCGTTTACTGAATTCATAAATCAAGTAACGCATATTAACTCTGGTGGTTTTTGGATTCCAAATAGGAAAAAACAGTTAAAAAAGATTCCATCCAACAAATGAACCCCCCAAAGTTTGAGAAAATTGAGGACATGGCAAATTTAACTTACCTTAATGAAGCATCTGTTCTTTATAACTTGAGGGCCAGATACAGTGCCGGCCTCATCTACGTTAGTCATCAGCATTTGCTAGTAGTTTCAAATTTGTTAAAATAAATACAAAAATAACTAACAATTATCTTAAATTTTAGATGTGTTTAAATTAAAACATTTAGTTGAAAAATTTTTTGTTCTGAAACGCGCAAAATTGCCCAGATATGATTCTATAACTATAGTAAACTTTTGTGCCACAATGGTTGTAACATTTACACAGCACACACACCACATCACGTATATGACGGTCTTCGAATCTCGAGCAGTATTCGAACCAGGGCATGGCTTAATAACGCGAAGCATGGCATTTTTACCGACTGAGCTAACTAGTCGAAAATATCGTTAAGATTGTCAACCTAGATATTTCAAAATTTCTGATAGATTCTGTTGATCTGAATTTAATAAAAGTTGAAGTGAATATTAAAATATTTAAATAATAAAATAATTTCAGACATACTCAGGATTGTTTTGCGTTACTATCAACCCATACAGACGTCTGCCAATTTACACGCAGAACGTCATTAACAGGTACCAGGGCAAAAGGAGAAACGAAATGCCTCCCCACCTTTTCGCAATCGCTGATAATGCTTATCGTAACATGTTGCAAGGTCGCTCAGCATAGATTAATTTTCGTTTTATAAAAAAAATATTTTTTGCAGGGTCAAATATCAGTGTTATATTTTTATCACATCTGTCTTGCTGATGCATTATTACTTTGTAAGCCGTTTTTAAAAAATCATTTAAAGATTAGGAAAGTAACATTATCAACAATATAATCGCTAAAACGTCATACATTTTTAAACAAATTCAATTTTGTTTATTCATTAACTTTTTTAAATTACTTAAAATAATGCAATGAACATGTCCCGAACCAGCAAACTTAAATTTTAATTTTCAGATCGTGAGAATCAGTCCATGTTGATCACGTTAGTTTATACCTTCCTGTAAAAAAGTTTTATTATTTTAATCTAGTTTCACTAAAATGTTAAATTCGTTGATTGTTACTTGAGCACAATTTTGTGATGCTTTGTAAAAGTGTCCTGACAAAGGCATAGATTCTTAAAAATCTTTTCCAAAATCTCTTACGCTACAAAACCTCTGAGCACTCACTCGTATGACACTGCACAAAGTACATCATCCTAGTTTTTGTGTTTTGAGCAGTAGAGCATTCGAATCCTCTCTTCTCACAATGCCAATGCAAGATGCATCACATCTGCAGTCGAGCTCTTCCGCCAACCATGCAAACCCGTCATCTTTCATGCAATAGCACTATTTGAATGAGTTTTATTTTAATTGGTAAATCCTGGAAAATACATTGTCTCAATATAGTTTGCCTGAGGAGTTTTTGTTTGAATAAAGATTATATAAGAAATTTTTTTGAACTTATAAAATTGTTTAAATTTGTAATGATTGAGCAGCGGTGAATCAGGCGCAGGAAAGACAGAAAACACGAAAAAAGTCATTTCATACTTCGCTCAAGTGGCAGCTGCCTCCAAGAAGGATGAAGAAGAAGAACAAAAAGTATTTGCAACATTTTCTTATTTTTCAGTAATCAACCATTTGTTGTACTGAGTTACGTTTAAGTTGATCAAAAGTTTGTTGACTTTCTGGCAGTTATTTTTCTGCTTTAATGTTTTTATTTAATTTACTCTCGTCGAACGCACTACAACAAATTCATAAACATTATTGTCTGTTTGCGAGGTTTAATCATAACATCACGTAGCTGATTATTTGATTTACTATGTACAGATGTCATCCTAGCTATAAAATATCATTTAAAAAACATCAACTACAAAATATGTTACAAATCTTCCAAATAAATAAAACTTTTTATTTTTTTTCCACAACAAACACGATAACGTAAATGGGTAGAAATCTCTAACCTCTTCACTATTAACTTATTATAATAACTGTACGATGGCAGCGTACGTACGATGTATGATGTGTAAGAACGCATTCCTTGCCAATGTTTTTAGCACTTTCTCATTCTGACTTCTTGCTGTTGTTAAATAAAATGTGTTATCAGATTCTCTCATAAGTAATTCCAGATGGTTGCTTCACCTTTACTTTTCTTGTCTTTATAAGTTTATTCCTATTCCTCGTTCTCATGTTTTGCTTGCTTTTTATGGAATAAATTATTCTATCCAAATGAATGCTTTCTTATCAAAGAAAGCCTCTGAATTTATTTAATCTGTTCCTTTTTATTTTCAATATTTTACGTTGTGTGTATTTTATTCCGTCAATTGTAATGCTTTCAAATATTACCATCGTTTGTAAGCGCTAAATATAGATAGTACATAACACAACGGCAAGAATCCTAAACTTTCATAATAAACAAGTTTATTTTTGGCAGTTTTGTTATCTAAAAATTCAGACTTTTTGTATTTTATCACACGAATCGTAATATATAATTTTTCATTTGGGAATATCATTTCTGACTTAAAAAATTTTATTTTAATTGAATTTTCAAGTTCGTAATCAGTTGCAAGCTTTTAACATCAACATTAACACCACTAAGTTATTACGCATTTGTGCAACAAAAACTACAGCTAATGTTAGACTAGAAGTTTTTAAAAATTTCTAATTTAGCCTTCACAAAGTACGCTAGTCCAAAGAATTTGTAGACATTCATCATGTTCCCAAAAATAATTTTACAATTTTTCTTGATTTACGACAATGTTTTCTATCTAGTTCCTTCCAGATATTACTTTGGTTGCTACAAAACGCCGACACGTTTAAACAGTATACAATACATGCATGCAACATACAATGTATCTATCCATCTGCTGTTTCATATGCTTGTAATGTTATGTTATATATCGCTCTAGTTGTAAAAAATTCCCTCATTCTTCTTGTTGAAAATGTGTTTCGTGCTATGTTAAAGTTTTGTTACACAGCATTACATCTCATTTTACTTATGTTTTGGCTCATTTTAATATCAGGGACAATAGTTTGTACAAATACGAACAAACGATAAACATGAAAATGTCATTTAACAGTTTTGAAAACAAAAACAATTAATTTTTATTTTGGATTTAGGAGTCTAATGAGTTCATTAACTTTTTTGTTATTGTTCTCAATAAGATAATATTCAATAAGAACTGTCTGGCACGAAGTATGCTATTTATTATGCCACCGAGTTGGCAATTATGGAGTTGTGTTTTTAAGCAGCGTTACCTTTCGCTACGATCGATAGGAACATTGGATGTTTGTAGGGAGAAGAGCGAATGATTTTTAACTTGTCATGATATTGTTTCTTAAACGGCGATGAGGAGACAGCATTGATTGGATGTTTTGATTTCTCTCTGATGTACCCTTCCGAGTCTGGATCGTTCGGAGTCGTCGTATTTTTTTAGCATGATAAATTGTTGCTGTCTGTTTGGTTTTTATATGACAAACTTGTGGGCTTGTATGGTTTGTGTGCGATATAATTTACGTAATTGGGCGTTTAGAATATAAGAATTATATAAATTCGATATTTAAAGCATATAAGATATAAAGTGTATAAATATATAAAGCATATAAGATTTGCAATGCATAGAAAATACATAAATTATAGAGAATATATATGGAATATATTAGACAGAAAATAATATGGAAAAGAGAAACAATATATGAAGGACAAATTTTATAAGAATATTCTGGTAAATATAGAATACGTATTTCATTTCACATGTACCACAAGTATCATTTAGGACGTGACACAAAATCTGTAAAATATTATTACTGTAAATCTAACTCTCCAAAACACGTGTGCGAAGACACACATTATCATTGTGTGTGGGTTTATATATTATATATATATATATATTATAATTATATATATATATATATGTGTGTGTGTGTGTGTGTGTGTAAATGTTTTTGTTTCTCTGACAAACAGTATTTTAATCGCATCATACGACTTGTTTGCATGTATTCGCCTCCAATTTTTAGCGCGCAATATACTTATGCATCTACGTGCAAATATTCTGCTCGTCATCATCTCTGTAAATTTACCTAATAATTTTTTTTATTTAAAAATATAATAATTATGAAAGTGTGAAAAAGCATTGCAATGATAGATGTTTATTTTTTGTTCAGCAATCAGGTAACAAAGGAAGTCTTGAAGATCAAATTGTTCAAACCAATCCTGTACTTGAAGCCTATGGTAATGCAAAAACCATCAGGAACAATAACTCTTCGAGATTCGTATGTACTTTTAATTAAATCATTCTCTTAATTTCACATATACACATATAAATTCTTTTTTAATACACACAAAATCATTTTCCTCGGTTTGGCACGATAAGTTGTTGGCATCTTTAAAAAGTATTCAAATAACTATGTAAAAATTAAAAAAAATTGGCACACTACTCAAAGATTTGGTCAAACAGAAATTGCAAGCTGACGAGGTTATTCATTCCTGTTCACATCATCAACGAAGAAGGCAATGGAAAAGGAAACACACCGGCATTGATATTAAAGACTGAAGTGTAAAGAATCTCATGTTGGCTGATGAAATTGATCTACTTAATATCTGAATGTTGAAAGCAGAGGTGATTTGCAAACATTGATTGAGATAACATTAAAGAGTCGTAAAGTCTCCAAAAACATAAAAAGTACGATGGCTTTATGAGAAAATGAAGAGAGTAAAAAATTTCAAATGAAATTTAGAAAACTAAAGCAAGTCGACAGTTTGTTAATTTTAGCATTTATTTAGAAAAGTGGTAATGTATCTATCAAAACAAAGTTTTAATTGACAAAAACCTGCATGTTTTCTTTGCCGCTGTATGTATGCGAAAATTAAACACTGAAGAGAACCAAGACTGTTAGATGCAATAAAAATGGAGTTTGAAAATTTGGTGAAAATCAGCTGAAGACAGAAGGTGCAAAACGAAATCATTGAAGATGAACTTTAGAGACAAAAAGTACCTAGAAAAAGATCTAGGAAAAATTTGACTTTTTGGGTTATTATTTAAGATTATTTATTTCAGTACAAAGACCTGGCAAGAAATTGATGAATAACATTGCAGAATTGACTGGGTTGGAATGTTGAAACCAAAAAACTGGCCAATGATAGAGAACGATAGTGAAAATCTGCAAAAAAGTTGGACGTCATCGATTATCGAGATCGACTACTTTAGTTTATCAAAATATAAATTGATCGATGGATCGGTATACCAATTCATTTATTATAAAATTAAATAATAAGGACAGTAAACAAAATAAAATAAAAATAAAATTAGTAAAGTTATTTAGACTGTTGCGACGAAAAAATGAAAAAACCTCCGTGTGCAAAAATAAAATGATAGTTGGGATTTATTGTTTATTTTTGCTAAATCAAATTGTGACTACAGTGTTTATAATTTTGAATTTCTGTTCAAACAGGGCAAGTTCATCAGGATACATTTTGGAACAAATGGTAAAATTGCTGGTGCCGACATAGAAACATGTTCGTATATTTCATTATATATTCAGCTAATTTTTTAAACGTTGGATAAAAAATAGTCTTTTTTTACAAAAACCATTAGTGTAAATTTTAAAAAATAGCTGAAAGTAATTAAGATTTGTAAAAGACAAATGCTTGAATATGTCGTGACCTTATTTTTGTTTGAGTTTTTGTTCTTTTTGCAAGTGTAAAACATTTCACCGGATGCTTTTTTGCGTAAATCGTTCAAGAAAAAATTTAAAATTTAATTAGTCACTACGTCACTACGATTGACATAAAACATCTAATAGACTCTCCGTTTTTATGTAAAAATTTCTCTGTTACATAATGTGATTTCTTTATTTAAAAGCGTTGTACTTTATAATCATTTTATTTTAGGTTTTTTAAATATTAAATAACTCTCATAATTAACAAATTTAAATTACCACGCAAATACAAGATCTGCTGGAAAAGTCTCGTGTGACGTATCAGCAGCCTGGCCTGGAAAGGAACTACCACATCTTCTACTGGCTCCTCTCTGGAAAGATGACCCACATTGTAGGTTGGTAACAAGAGCCTGATTGTTTGCTATCAAACTTTATAATGATCTTTCAATACTTTTGTAAGCTTCTATTCTCGCAATTCGAAAAATTATGAAATATCGCGTTAAATCCAGTAAGCATTTGTTGTTTTTTAAACATTTCATTCTAACAGTTTGATGTTTGCATTCTTATCAAATTTAAAATTGTATTTGGGTCAATCTTAATAAGAAACAATTAAACAACTGAATTTTGCTTCGCGCTTTTGTAAAAAGTTTAAGTTCCTCATTTTAATCATGGTTAGACATTATTTCTTTTTTTTAAGATGGATATATATATATATATATATATATATACATAATATATATATATTTTTTTTTTCTGGTTCTTTTTCATTACGCAGCTCTTCATACGCAAAACTGCTTCTAAATATCATCCTTCTATTTAAACCTTCGTACCAGAAAGGCTATGCTATCCACAACACACAACACGAAATACATGCCTATTATGCTGCATGCGCAAGAACAGCATCATAAAAATTGTTTCTCATCTCATTCAATTTTTTCTATTATATAGTAATTAGTTCTTCAATTATTTTTTATAATAATTGCCTTTTCAATTGAAGTTTTAATTAAACAGACAACAATATCGTTTAATTTATATGAGGATCTAAATAATTAATTATTAATTAATTAATTAATTAAAGTGAGATAAGTTATATTCCCAATTTTTCCGGCTATTGTACGGAGATGTAGGATAAAAAAAATAATAAATATATCAATAAAAGACGGAACCATACTTGCAAACAGTAATAGCAATGCGACATGCATTTTGTCTATAGAGTTTTAACATTTTGAATTGAATTTACAAGAATAATTGAGAGAGTGTTGTGAAAATATTTTGATTAATCTGAGTGAGTGTTAGTGAGGAAAAAAATATTAGCACCATTGCTATTGCATCAATGAATGTGGCATTTTAGTATTTGTAACCTTTCATGAAGTTTTTGTGTCTGAGTTTGAAATGTTGTCACGATATATTGTCGATCAGTTTCAAAAATAAAATAAATTAAAATAAATAAAGGCTCTGTACTATTTAGCGTAAAAAAAGAATGACATGAATGCTGTGGATGTAAAAATAAGTACTAATTATGTTTAATTTACTAATGTAAGAAAAATGCACATAATTTTATCAAATGATTAACAATTTACAAATTTTTTTAATTTTATTGCTAGTACTTTTTTTATTTTTCATAAAACGTTTTGATGTTTATCGTTAATTTGTTACAATATTCTATAAATTCTACCGAATGTTTGGCGTTAATATGTTTGTAGTTCGTTTTTTCGATTTTTCTCACTAAAGTTTTTTGGTGAACGT